CGTTGGACCCTAGCTTGCGAGTAATGCTGCTGAATCTGAGTCTGAACTGCAGTTCAGTGGTCTGTTGTCGAGTTTCTCCCCTGCAGAAAGCTCAGGTATTTGCCTCTTGGAATATCTTTTGATTTACAGGCTACATTATCCACATCTCCAATGCTGCTGCTGCGAAGCAGCCTTTCCCTCTCTTGCTCTTCGTGCCGGACTATAACATGACATGAATTGTTAGAGAAACTTTCATAATCCAGTCTGTAGAATATGCATATAACAGTGATAATGATGGCTACAGCGAGGGTCTAGGTATCTTAACCTCCAATATACCACAAAGGATGAGGTTTCAGTTTGATGCGCTTTGTTATTTTTCTTTTGTTTTTAGTTAGATGTACCAATTTCTGTTTTGGTTGTCAAGAATATCCTGATGTAAATGAAGGGTCGTGCCAAAAATGTGTTCCTTGCAATTATGCTGACACTTGCTGACTGCCAAGTATTGCAGTGCCATTAAACTTCAGTAGAAAATTGTACTTTCAGGTTACTAGCCTAGTCAAGAAGGGTGCACGGAAGATAACCCTTAGTATTGGAGATGGTGCTAATGATGTTAGCATGATTCAAGCTGCTCACATTGGCGTTGGAATAAGTGGGATGGAGGGTATGCAAGCAGTCATGGCTAGTGATTTTGCAATTGCCCAGTTTCGGTTTCTCACAGATTTACTTTTGGTACATGGACGGTGGTCTTACCTTAGGATATGCAAGGTCTGATATGTTGGATTGTTTGTGCATAAAATTTTATGTTTTTTTGAATATTGATGATTTCTAACCGTTACCTGTCCCATGTTCATACTCTTGCATCCGGTTTATTACAAGTTTGATTTCTTTTGTTACAGGTGATAACCTACTTCTTTTACAAGAATCTTACATTCACTCTGACGCAATTTTGGTTCACATTTCATACTGGCTTCTCCGGGCAAAGGTTTTATGATGATTGGTTCCAGTCATTGTATAATGTCATCTTTACCGCTCTTCCGGTGATTATTGTTGGGCTTTTTGACAAGGCAAGTCTCTATTCGACCCTTTTATATAAGAATTTCAACTTTGTTAGCATGTTTCCATTTACAAACAACTATAAGTATCCGAGTAAGCTGATGTAGTGTTGAATTATTATGTCTCTTTCCAGGATGTTAGTGCGGCATTGTCGAAGAAGTACCCTGAACTGTACAAGGAGGGGATAAAAAACATGTTCTTCAAATGGCGAGTTGTGTGGACGTGGGCTTTTTTCTCTGTGTACCAATCTCTGGTCTTCTATCACTTTGTGACGATATCTGGTACTAGTGGTAAAAATCTCTCGGGCAGGATGTTTGGACTGTGGGATGTTAGCACAATGGCGTTCACTTGTGTTGTGATCACTGTCAATTTACGGCTTCTAATGATGTGCAATTCAATCACAAGATGGCATTACATTAGCGTCGGTGGAAGTATTCTGGCATGGTTTGTCTTCATCCTTATATATTCGCTGCTACGGGTAAGTCCTTTTGTGGAAGGAGACTCTCTTTTCCTTTTGATAATTGGAGACTGTTTTTTGAATTCACCCCCAAAATGGGTATTTCAATTCATTTTTGGTTAACTTTCCACTTTGCTAAGGTTCTGGCTGCTGGCATTTCTTTATGCAGGAGAATGTTTACTACGTCATATATGTTCTGATGGGCACATTCTATTTCTACCTCACAATTATTCTTGTGCCCATCGTTGCTCTTCTTGGAGACTTCATCTATCAAGGGTGAGTTCATTCACCTCACAGTTTTCTCCCCGTAGCACCATTCGCCTGTGGTTGCTGTGCAATTTTACCGTAATGGCTTCTTACATTTGCTTGGTCTGGAAACCTTGGATTGCTGCAGGGTGGAGAGATGGTTCTTCCCGTACGACTACCAGGTAGTACAAGAGATGCACCGGAACGATCCGGAAGACAACTCAAGGGCTGGCTTACTGGAGATCGGGAACCGCCTTACCCCACAGGAGGAAAGAAGCTATGCCATAGCTCAACTCCCGAGAGAGCTATCCAAACACACGGGCTTTGCCTTTGATTCCCCTGGTTACGAGTCGTTTTTCGCTGCTCAGCTGGGTGTCCACGCACCCCAGAAGGCATGGGACGTCGCCAGAAGAGCCAGCATGCGGGGGAAGCCGAAGCCATCAAAGAAGCACTGAATGAAGTATATGGCAACATAGATTTGTTGTACAAAGAAGAATTTTTGTAGTCCTGTCCTCCATAGCTTGATGACATAAGTGAGATCATAATCCCTTAGAAGGAAAAGGAAAACAAGTTTGTATATTTTTTTAGATGCTCATTACCTGTTTGAAAATAGCTCCACCCATGTTATCCTCAGTTTCTTGAACCTTAGATGTATTCTTTGGAGGAGTTTAGTCAGTGTCATTATTAGGGTTTTTTCTTCTTCTATCCCAGCTGTACAGTTAATGTTATATTTTAATGGATTACACCTCATGTCATGATGAGCCATCCTCATTTGTGTCAATTACAGTGCAACAATTTCATTCCATATCAATCAAAACCCTATGTTCTGAAGTTTGATACAGACCCACCATAACACGATCATCTCCTGTATGAATTTTATACTGTTTGCTGAGAATGTTCTAATGCCATTACAATTGGAAGTATGAATTGTTCATCAGTAGGTATCTTCTAACTTTTAAGCTGTTAGGAACTAGGAAGTGACACGAGCTCTTCACAGTTGCACAGGAAAAGCTGGTTGCTGCGTATGTTCAACCCTGTGTAGCAGAAAAACAAGTTGTCGAGACTGTAAAGCGTGCGCATCCAGTTCTTCCAACCTGGGGCGAGATTTGAGGATCATGAACTAGCTTCTCTTGTATTTTCGAAGAAGGTCGAATTGCTGGTTTCTTTTTCTTGCTCATTGTCAGTGCTACGAGGGTTTGAATGCATGCCTCTGAAACTTTCAGGCGGCAGTACTGTTACAACAGTGTTCAACATATCAGCAGGTAGGCACAAAGAATGTCTTCGAACCTCTTTATAGAAGAAACTGCAAGTTTGTGAAGCATCAGACAGTTGTTGAACTTAATAAGTGGCCAGAGGGGAGTTAATTGCCTTAAGCGAAGTGTAAAATTCAATAAAGAAGAAATGATGTGTAAAATGATGACATACGACTGATCAGCGAGGGATCCATAATTTTTGAACAGGTATGTGATCAGTAATTATTAAATTTATGCTAGGGGTTATATTCAGTAAGTCGGTTAACGATTACATTGATAAGGTAATTAATAATCGACAATCGTTAACTAATTATATGTTAGCGGTGTGTTATCAATAGACTGAAATGACTTCTAGTATAACCAATAACTAAATAGCTGGTTAATGATTAACTGATAACTAACATAACATAAATATCTATGTTCTCTCCCCCCTAAACGATCACGTCCTCGCAAAAACTCTCGAACCTGGAGCAAACAATCTCCTCCTCGCCCTGACCCTCTTCTTCTTTCCCCATTTTCCGTCGCAAAAGGTCCTATTTTTTGTAGTGGATTTTATGATTAAAATGTAGGTATCAGGATTGAATTCGAGACTCAAAGAGAGGAATTTATAACCTATCATCCTACCCTTCTTCAAATTTTAATTACTATATAATCTATATTTTATAACACAAAATACAATATTAAAAGAGCTACAACCCATCCTAAATTATACATAACTCCACCTCAATTAAAAAGTTAAACAGGAAACAGAAACATTAATTAATTAATATATATAAAGAAGAAGCTTGGTACTAACATTTGAAAAATTACAATTTAGTAACTATAATTTACATTTTACATTTTGATACCCCAAATATAAATTTTAATGTAACACATCATTGAAAAATTATGTTTTGAAGAAAAAGTTTGATTACTATTCGCTAACAACATTTGCAAAAATTTACCGTTGAACAACTACAATTTAAATTTTACATTTTATACTCCAAAATTTAATTTTAATGTAAAATATCATTGAAAAATTATAGTTTGGTACCTAAATTTATTTATTAAGAGATTTTAGTATCTACAATTTTTTAAATTTATATACTGGTCCAACGTTTAGATTCACTTGGATCTATGAATCCAATCCACCAGTCCATTTGCATCAATGCAATAGATTGCTACATGAAAAGGGTTGACTGTAGTATTGACAACCAATGAAAAGACCTGGTCAAAACCTTTCCATCATCTACATCCTCTTCGGTTCATTTTTCATTCGTCTTCCACATCCCTTTCTTTATTTCTTTCTTTGCCTTCTGCGCCCAAACCCGAATTAGTACACTATTTATATGTATTCTAATTCACAAGTATGAATTAACGGATAAATTTGAAATGTAAATGGGATAGGATTAAGTCGCGTAAGCATTATATGGGTGTATTATTTTTGACAATGAGATTGAAGATCTTGAAAACTTATCCGGAATAAAAAAAAGGCTATGATCATATAATCAAACGCAAAGTTACGAATCGTTGAAAGTTTTAACCTAAGTAATTAGAAGTATTTAGAGTAGTTTGCAGGTGTGTCCAGCGATCCATCCTTAGTTTAGTACAACAGCGATCCACTTACGAATTGGCACAGTTTGCTTCCAATAGCAGCGATCCACACTGGTTCACCCCACATTCCAGCAAACTGCGCAATGGTTCGCTGCACAGTCCACCGAACTGCTCCAAACTTCGAGTAGTATGAGCAATTTTTTTAAGTGGGGTATTGTGAGAATTTTTTGGTAACTTAGTTATTTTCGGATTTTCCCCCGCAATTACTCCTTCCATTGGTTTTCCATTCTGTATATATAATCTGTACGCAAGCCATTACATCTCTCTCTCTCTCTCTCTCTATACTATATGGATTATGTGCTGTATATCTTTTTGGTAAACGTAGGTGCATGAAAAAATACAGAAACCCATAAAAAGGAAAAGCGAAAGACAGAAAAGAACAAAGCCTTGCTTCCCCCTTCTCTTTCAACCTTCAAGAAAAGCCCAAACCTCCATCCCAATATAAAATTCCTTCCACTTCAAGAAACAAAATTCTTGGCGGCCCTTTTGCCTCATGTTCTTACACACTCTTTCTCCACCTTGTGTCTCAGCTTGTTTCTATATCTCGCCACATCAAAGGGAAGAAAGGAGCAGTTGAAGAGAGATGGGAAGAAGTAATACATCATCATCATCCACAGTCTTGTTTGTGTGGCTTTTGTTGGTTGGCTCCTTGGAGTTGGAAACTAGTTCATTATTATCAGTTAGCACAATTCCTAGAGCAAGCGCCATGCCTGTGAAAGATCAGAAGCAGCTTGTACACAGCCCTGGATCAAATCTCAACTATAGGATGAGCAAGAGAGGAGTTCCAAATGGTCCAGATCCAATTCATAACAGGTAATGAACATCGAACTGTGTTACTGTCTAACCATGAATCTATGATAAAAAACACAAAATTTTTTGTGTCTTTGTGTTGCATCATTCTGTGTTCTCTCTATTTGCTCATAATGTTCTTCTGTTACTTGCTTGCATAAATAGTCCAAACGGCGATATGAGATTTATTATCGAACATGACGATGGTAGACAATATTTTATGCTTATCGTTACTCAATTTTAATTGGTTGATTAGTTGAATAATTAGTACTAGTGTTGTGATTTCTTTTTCCCTTTCTAGTTGATAGATAATTAGATGGTAATTGTAGAAAATTGTAGAAATTCCATTTGGGAAGATATCTGCTACTCTGTTGGAATGGAAGCCCCCCACTCCAAAGCTTTAGAAGTACTAAAGGAAGGGGTGATTTAAATAAATTAAAAGAAATGTATAGTTTAGTGTCTTGTCACTTTATTCGATTCGTCGCCCTTAAACATGTTTATTCAAAGCTAATTAACGTTTTTATTAAAAAAAAAAAGAAATAATTCTTCTTACATACCCTTTATGAGGGCTGCCCTTTAACCTTGCCTTTTCCATGCCCCAACTTTTACTTTTCGCACTCACAAAAATAATTCTTAACATATTGAATTTTGGATTTTGAATTTTAATCAAGTAGTATTAATCTAATATGAATATATCACATATAATCGTAATTAATTCATGCATTACCTTAAACTTTTAATCCTAAATTCTAAACGCTAAACCTTAAATTCTAAATCCTAAGTTTTAAGCCTAAATTCCTAAACACGGAATGATTCAAATCAAAATAAATATTGATTTTTTTTATTATTTTCTTACGAATTCATACCTTTCTAATCCATCATACCACAAGTCAAGATTAAAAGAGATTTTCACCTACTAAAATGACTATTATAAGGTGGAGGCATCACATGCACCCAAAAAGTGAGTGCTAATTAGAGAATTATTAGTTGGGCTTTACCCATTAAAAATTATGTTATAGTATCATATATACCTCAAATTTCTATTGATTCATAGTTTAAATAACGGACATGATCCGTAGATGTGCACTAGCCTGATCCATATATTTTTCTGTCTCTATTCTTAATCAATAGACGTCAACCAATCATGCATCTTCATGCAGGCTCTGCACGTATATGGTCCATCAATCAACATGGCCAGTGCCTTTTGTTGGCGCTTAACTGTCTCTTTTATGCATAGTTTTCCATGACTGCTGCTATTCATCAGTTGTTTATATACTATAGATTTTACTGCCCCCCAAAAAAAACTATCTTTTAATCCAAATATTGAACTTTGATCATTCAGGAGAGCTGGGAACTCTAAATGGCCACCTGGGCGAGCGTAGAAGTACTTACGAATGAAGAGAAGCTATTTAGCCAAAGCCCAAATTAGAAAAGGAAGCTCATCACACGAAGGAAGGCTGTCATGCATGTAATATTCTTTATTTTGATCAATGGCGTAACATTAATCGATAATAAGGTGGTTTCATTTCATTTATATATCAAAGAAAAAAAAAACAAGAATATTTTCAGATAACAGAAATCATCTCCAATGGAAAACCAGAGCTTGCAAAACTATACCGGCAACTCGACTGGGAAAACCAACTACTTGAGTATAAATTTGTAGCCATTTTATAGCGGTATGAAACGGTTTAATCACGATTAAACTACAAATTCAGCATATAAAATCTTATTGCTGATTTTTCTAGTACAACCTTCGAGGACGATGAAGAATAAAAGAATCAAACTCGAGAAGAAGGGATGAATAAGGAAAATGGAATCCATCCCCCCTTTTTTTTTAGTTTATGCAGGGGACTAGTGATGGAGGTTTGTGTTGTACCAGAAGAAGCTAAGGGTCACAGTGCCCCTAATAATTGATTTGCAATTATCATCGGCATTCATATGTTGATAAAAGATGGGAAATGTTTGGTCGAAGGTCCCTTCCATCTTTAAAATATAGGTATATAGTTCTGAAAATTTCCTAAAACTGTCTTAGTCTCTGTTCACTCTAAGTTCCGACTTCTTATTTTATACTCGCCGCTCACTCTAAATTCCGATCGGCTTCTTATTTTATAGCCTTCGTGTACTTTAAATTCCGACGGTAACGTTATAGAGGATTTAGGAAGGTATATATAAGGAGGAAGAAATGATAAACTCAATCAATGCAAAAGAATTCCACATTTTCTTTCCCATGAGTTTTTATCATATCTCTGGAAAGTTAGCATATATGAATAGAGTTTCCAAAGAACTAAAGTGAAGTGGCCACTACCAAAGAGTTAAAAGCCTTAAAGGTGAGTGTGTTTGTTCATGCTCTTGTTTTAGTGTGTTGGGTGTTGGTCTTTTTCTCAAGATTCTTTTGTTCGGTTTTGCCTGTTGTTTTTATCTTTTGGACCATTCAAACTTGTTTTTTAACAGAAGGAACAGATTTTTACCTGGTAAGTATGGTATGAGAGAGATTCTTCATGTGCTAGCTCTTGTGGCAATCAAAATGTTCTACATGAGCTTTAGTTTGTGCTTCTTTTTTTTTTTTTTTCTCGTTCTCCTCTTCCTTTTCTTTTTGTGTTTCATTGTTTTAATTGGATTTGAGATTCAACTCGGTTGCTTGAAAGTAGCCTGTGCCAGAAAGCCTTTGAATAGAAATAGAACTAGATTGGGTACTTTGTTTTTTCGTTTACCAAAAATCATGGAAAAACGATAACTTTTAGTTCCATCGAGGTTCTACATAGGAGGATTGTGTGCGGTTCTTGCTAGGAATGAAAAATGAAATGTAGTGTTGGAGTGAGTTCTTCAAATAGAGAGCATTGGTCGTTAAATGTATAGGTGGCAAGTGTTTTTACTCTTTAATACCCCCTCAAAAAGAAAAGAAAAAGAAAAGAAAGAAAAGAGAAATGAAAAAGAGGTAATAAAACGGGGTAAATAAAGTAGAGAGTGCCACAAAAAAAAACAAAGCATATGCTCTAGGAGGGGTTTCTTGGCACTCAAGCCATTGAAGCCCCAACATTGTTTTAGAACTCCTTCACTATCAAATCGAAAGATGATAGCAAGAGTAGACCGAGGAATAGTGCTTCAACGTAGTTCATGATGGGTGCTAGTTTGGAAAGGAGAGATAAGGTTTTTGGCTGATGCTAGTGGCTTTTGGTTAAAGAGAAAGGTTTTTAGTCGAAGTCGTAGAACCTTCGGGTTTAGGTTGAAGATGTATAACCTCACGTCATGATTTGCACCACCCAAAAAGTCTTTTCCCCATGTCCAAGACAATTGCTAGTCATCTAAACCCGTGTCTAAGACCTCCAGACAAGCTAGTGATGACAACTATTCCGTGAACTCTAGCATTTATAGTTTGCCGCCGTGGTGTTGAGACGATAGGGCTGAGAGTTAATGATTGTGCACATCTTTTGGCACCAAAAAGGTCCTGACCTCACTAGTCTTGAGAGTGAGTGATTCATTCTTGCTTTGCATGTCATATAAAATCCCGGTGAGGACCTTGGTTGCCTTCCCGTTTGTTCCTTGGACTTGAATTCCATGCATGGTTAGTTGTGGTTGATAAGTGGTTTCTTTGAGACTTGCATTGATCCATGAACAAGGTGAGAACTTTTTGGTTGCCCGTTTTAGTGGCTTCAAATGTCGTTTTGGTGGATGTCGGTATTACTTGCAACCATCCATGTGTTAATTTCCAATAGCCATTTGAGAATTCCCACTTTGTGCCCTTTGAGTTGTCCCCAAAGTATTTATGTAGGTTGAAATATTACCTTGTGTGAAATGGTTTGCTTGGGGACAAGCAAACGTCTAAGTGTGGGGGAGTGATTCGAGCCTAATTGTACATGTTTTACCCCCGTTTTACTTAGATGTTTGTGGCAAATTCGCTCCTAAAAGGTTGGTTTTACGCTAGGTTTCTCGTGTTTTAGCATGTTTCAGGATTTAACAGGTGAAACCAGCCTTGGAGTCGAAAGTTGGGCGAAAAGGATCAAAAACGGGGAGAAGAGGTGAAAAAGGGAAGTTCACGGCTTGGAAAGGAAGTTCACGGCCTTGCTTGGCCGTGAAGAAGGGCTTCTGAACATTTCGAGAAGTTACTGAAGCAAGGTGTGTTCACGATCACTAAGACCGTGAACGAAGGCTGTTGACCGTCAACGAGAGTGAACGACGCGCTGCGTTTTGGCGCACGCCTGAAGTTCACGGACGCGTTTGATAACTGAGATCGTCCTGGTATAAAATGTGAGCTGAAAGTACGAGAGAAGGGAGAGCCCACTTTGTGTGAAAAACTTTCTTCTGCATCCTAGAGAGAGAAACACGAACCAAGAGAAGAAGAAAGCTAGGATTTGCTCCAAAGTGGATTTTGAGGAGAATTCCTTCAAGGAAATTCCAACACAAGGATTAAGAAGAGTGGGAGCATCCTTCAAGATGGTTTTCTTCTTTTCTCCTTGTGTTTTCCTCACTTCTAGTATGGAGTAGTTTTCCCTTTCACTTGGAGTGAAGATTGACATCCCAGAGCAGATTATTCACATCTTTATGAGTATGACTACTTTGAATTCTGATTTCTTCTCTCTCTATGGAGTAGACCCTTCTCTCACTTGGGTATGAAGAACCCTAGTTCCATGTGTTAGGGATTTGAGTTGTAATGACTTTTGGATTGATATATTGATTGATTATAATCAATTGAAGTGTGTTTATTGAGTCAATTAAATCCTGATCAACTTCTCTTGATTTCTACGTCAACCTGTGATAGATAGAATCTGAATAGGTTGTTAGAGCTTCTTCAATCGATAGTAGTTAATTGATTATACTAGAGTTAGTCGATTCACTGCTTTGTACTGGAATCCAATTCCAATAGTGGAGTTTTGTGTTAATTTCCTTAGCTTTCTATCCCGGTGAGGACTAGTCGTCTGCCGGTTAGTCTGTCTAAGAGGGCTTTGTCAGCTTAAGAGATTCCAAGCTACTGTCGGATCTTCCATAGTTTAATCAACGGTAAATCAACCAAAGGAAATTACAACTTGGACCTAACTAAGGAGCTAGGGGGACTCGTTCCCGAGTGACTCTTCTCTTGCTTCATGAAACCGAACAATTTACTGCTTTCTTTCTGCTTTAGTTTAAACTCAATTTCACTAAACTTTCCCGCTAGATAATAGATAATCACGGAGTAGGCAGTACATCTAGGCCCTGTGTTGCTATTTATTACTTGATTCCACTATACTGCATTTTCATTCTGCGAATACACTTGGTCGCAGTTTGGTGTTGTGTTTTAGCGTGTCAGTAGCCTTGCTCCATTATGGTTGTTTTGCTTCAACCATGCTTCTGACATTTTGTCAAGAGTCTTCCACAGTATGTACGAACATTGTGTTCGCCTGGACTGCTGCCATGATTTGGGGGGAATTTTTTTATGGGTAGGATATATGGGACTGATTTAGGAGGATAGGAAAATAATATCGGCTCTGATACCAAATTTGTTGGGGCACAGCGAAAATATGATAGAATTTAGGATCGAATATATCAGAGGAAATTATTTCACTCCAATATTTTTAACCGAACAATATTACATATCGGCAATTGTTGCCTTTTACATTAAGAGTTGTTGCTCTTTATTATTTTGCCTCTACCCTCACAGACACTCCGTCCACATTTTCTCCATATTCGGATTAGGCAAGTTTGTTGCCTTTGTCGCCTTTGTCCGCGACGCCTGGAACTCCAGCCGTTCGCCCTGCTCCACCTAGCCGGCGATGGTATCTTCCAACGCGAACAACATTCAGCTGCCGATCCTCCCATAGCCGCGGAAGCTGCAGGCTCTGCTACCACTGATGAACCGACACTCTCGGTTCGGGAGTTGCTTGTAGCTCACAAGCGAGAGAACGACGGTGGTGTCGCGATAAACCTTTAATTTTATTATTCGATACGGAACTAATACCCAAGTTACATATTTATAGACTTAGAAAAGCCTAATACGTAACCTAATCCTACCCGAACACCCCTTACTACTCGGCTACCCCTAACCCAAAGCATACAAGGAAAACCGAAACTACAAGGAAAGACACTCCTAGCACAAATCCGAAAATACCCAAAACCCATACCCAAAAAATACCCTCATCAAGAGACCGCCGCAACCGGAAGAGAGAGAAGTAGAAGAGAATGGAAGAGATTTTGGGGTTGGTACAGGGCCAGAGGGTCTGCTGCTGTTTGGAAATTGGCTTAACGCGACATGGCTTCCACGTCATTTATTTCAATTGAAAAAGATTGTGCTAATACCACTACAAAACCAGAACTATACAGCAAGTGTAATTTTTGTCCTCATCTATTTAATATGATAATTTTAGGACTAACTTTCTACGTTATGTGAAATTTATGTATAATGATTTTGTTGATCATTAGAGATATCGGTTGACCAGAATGGTCAAAATGACATTGACTATTGTTGATGTGACACCACGTCACTAACACATAAGATTTTCTTAGTTTACAATTTATGTAATTTAGAAAATAACAAAAATAGGAAGAAAAACCTGATTTCCCCACTAACCAACGCCATCAAACCCTAAATCTCGACTTCGATTCCCCACAACCCAATTTAGAACCTGGCAAGTCGCCACGACGACTATCTCTAGTTCCCTCCTCCTCGCGGCGGCTCAGCTGCATAGGGGATCACTCTGTCAATCAAA